CACACATCTATAATTCCAGCTATATGGAAGGCTGAGGCAGGAGAATTGCAAGTTCAAGGCTGGCCTAGGCAACTTGGGAAACTCTGTCTCAAAATTTAATTTAAAAAGGGGGACAAAGGAGGGAGGACATGGGGTTGAGTTGTGGCTTAGCTGTACTCCCTGTGTTCAATCCCCTACACAGCAGAAAAACTAGTGGGATAATTGGGAGTGTAGCTCAGTGGTAGAACACTTGCTAGAATATGTAAGGGCCCAGGTTTGATCACCAGGTTTAAAAAGACTTTATAAACAACAACAATAAAAAAGTGTAAGGCACTCATTGAGGGCTGCCATGGTGGTACAGCACATGTCATCCCAGCATTTGGGAGGCTGAGGCAGGAGGATCGCCATGAATTCCAGGCCAATATAGGCTACATCAGTGAGTTCAAGGCCTCAGCCTCTCAGAGTGCTGGGATTACAGACGTGTGCCACCTTGCCTGGCCCCAGTCTTTTGAATTTCTTCTTTTGATACAAGACCTGGCTAAATTGTCCAGGCCAGCCTCAAATTTGTGATCCTCCTGCCTCAGCCTCTGCGGTAGCCGGGCTTACAGGTATGTACACTGTGCCCAGCTGGATTTTACCAATATGAAAAATGTACTTCAGAGGACACTCACCAACGTGATGTATTTTTTACTTTAAAGGACACTATCAAGAAAATGAAAGAAGCAGGGCATGTTGTCACCTGCCTGCAAACTCAGCTACTCTGGAGGCCACCCAGGGAGCCTAAAAATGTTAACGCAACTTGGGCAATGTAGCAACTTAATGAGATCCTGTTTCAAGATAAAAATAGAAAATGTTGGGGTTGTGGGTCAGGACAAAAGGGCTGCGTTCAAGTCCCAATGGCCTCCCCCATCCCCCCAAAAATCCAGATGTGCAGGCATTTGCCTCTAATCCCTGCTGCTTGGGAGACTGAGACAGGAGAATCTCCAGTTTGAGGCCAACCCGGACCACCAAACAAGACTCCCATCCCAAAAGAAAAGAAATAGCAATGAAAGACAGGGCTGGGGCTGAAGCCCGGAGACAGGGTCCATATCTAGCATGTACAAGAGCCTGGGCTGGAGCCTCAGTACAGCAAGAAAAAGAAGAAAGAAAGGAAGGGAGGAAGGGAAGAAGGAAAGAAAGAAAGAAAGAAAGAAAGAAAGAAAGAAAGAAAGAAAGAGAGAGAGAAAGAGGCAGACAGACCTATGAAATGGGAAAAACTATTTAGAAATCACATTAGTGACTTGTATACACAGAATGTAAAGAATTCTTACAAAGATAAAGGATTTGGTCTTCTGGTTCTCCCACACAGACACATAAAGGAGCAATGAGCATGAAAAGATAATCAGTTTCCAGGTGTGGACGGCGCACACCTCTAATCACGGGGCTCTGGGAAGCTGAGGAAGGAGGATCACAAGTCTGAGCCCAAACTGGGCATGGTGGTGCACATCTGTAATCCCAGCACTAGGAAGGCTGAGAGAGAAGGATCGTCTTGAGTTTAAGGCCAGCCTGGGCTACATAGTGAGTTCAAAGTTAGCCTGTACTGTAAAGCAAGGCGCTGTCTTAAAGCAAAAACAAAAACAAGTTTGAGCCCATCCTGGGCCATTTAGTGACTTAGGAAACCCTGTCACAAAATGAAAAGGGTTGGGGATGTAGGTCAGTGTGACAGGGAGTTGAATTCCCAGTACTAAAGGGGAGAAGAAACAGAGGAGAGGAGAGGAGAGGAGAGGAGAGGAGAGGAGAGGAGAGGAGAGGAGAGGAGAGGGGAGGGGAGGGGAGGGGAGGGGAGGGGAGGGGAGGGGAGGGGAGGGGAGGAGAGGAGAGGGGAGGGGAGGGGAGGAGAGGAGAGGAGAGGGGAGGGGAGGGGAGGGAGAGCAGTCTGGTAGTTCTTCAAATTCTGAAAGATTATTGTATGACGCAGCAATTCTACTCCTAAGTATATACTCAAGTAAATTCTATGAATTTTCATAGAAGCATCACTCTTTTGTCTTTTGTTTCCTTGAGATGGGCTCTTCCTATGTTGCCCAGGATGGTCCCAACCTCGTGGTTCTCCTGCCTCAGCTTCCAAGTAACTGGGAAAACAGATGTTCCACCACTCCTGGTGTAGCACTACTTTTTTTTTCTTTTTTGTCTCTTTGAGATGGGTTTTGCTATGCAGTTCAGACTGGATTTGAACTCACTTCATAGCACTGGTTGGCCTTGAACTCACAGAGATCCTCCTGCCTCAGCCTCCTGAGTGCTGGAATTACAGGCATGTCACAGCATTACTCAGTTTACTGCATTTTGTTCAACATCAAATGGTACATGTCTGCAGTGAAATATTATACAGCAGTAAATGGAATAATAGAGGCTACCTCTTCAATGAGCTTCGGAAAACATGCTAAATGAAAAAGGTATTCACAGAGATTAAATGATTTTATTTATATGGAATGTATAAAAGAAGGCAAATCTAAAGTGTAATTCCGGGGCTCTGGGAGTCTGAGGCAGGCGGATCTTGTTTGGCCCAACCTGGACAATTTAGCAATTTAGTGAGACCTGAGGCAAAGTTAAAATTAAAAGGGCTGGGAATGTAATTTAGCAGAAAGATCTTGAGTTTATTCCTGAGCACCCCCCCCCACACACACACAAATAAGTTTGCCCAAAGGGATCAAGAAATAGCCCTAAAATTGTAATGTTATTCCCCCAGCCAAATCTTTGCCTTTATGGTTTTTGTTGGATGTACTCTATGGAATGCAATTATTATTATTTTTTTTTTTTTTGAGACAAGATCTCCCAATGTAGTTCAGGCTGGCCTTGAACTCTCTATGTAGCCAAGGATGGCCTCGAACTCATGGTGATCCTCCTGCCTCAGCCTCCCATGTTCGAGTACTGGGATTACAGATGTGCAACACCATGACTGTCCTGGAATGAACATTATATTTAAATAAATACAAACAAAAGAGAAAACCATAGTACTACCTGTACCATTGGGAAGATAAAAAACATTGAATGCCTATCTTGAGGCACCTAGAACAGTAATACATAAAAAATACTAGCTAGTGGTATGTTTCTATTGCTCAGTATTAAAATTAAACTTAAAACTAATTGACTTTAAAAGGTATGATACTGGATGGGGTTCAGTTCAGTGGGGAGTGTTTGCCTAGCAGGTGAGGAGCCCTGGAAGCCCTAGTGAGAAGCCTCAGCACCATGAGAGCAAATAAAACAAGAAAAACCAAAAAAGGTCGGTACTGATATAAATAAATGTACTGCTAGTCCAGGGAGTCTAGAAACAGATACAAATATACATAAATCAGTTGTTTAGTCAACATGTAATTTCAAATCTGTAAGTACATACAACAATTCTTTGTTTCACCAACACAGAATTTCAGATTTTAGGTCAAGGGTAGCTTACAAATATGCAACAGTCGGTCATCTTCCTGGAGAAAAATAAAATTGGATCCGCTGTCCCATACCACCAGCCGACACTCATGTAATTTAAACGTTTTTAAAAGTAATATGGGAGGGGCCTGTATATACTTCAGCAGCAAAGAGCCTGCCTGGCAAGCACAAGATAGGGTGTTCAATCCCCCTTAAAAATACTATGGGGCTGGAAGTGTAGGTCACGTTCATGCTCCAGCTCAAGGCAGGGGGGGGCGGTTTGGGGGTTGGAGGGGGCGGGAGGGGGCCAGAGGGGACGCGGGGGGGGGGTTAATACAGAGTTCAGAGGGGTAAAAAACAAAACCCATCTAGGAAATCTGTATACTATCCAAAGCTTAAGGAGGTTTTACTGGTTCTCTTTGGCGGCTCCAGAGGATGGAGACCCCACCCCCATCAGCCTTTGGCTCGCTAGGCCAGCGCTCTAACAGTAAGCTACATCCCTGACCTCCGGAGGGTCTCCTTTAAAAACAAATCTTGAAGAAGCTTCCCGACAGGTTACCCAGGCTGACCTCGAACCTAATTCCGGAGAAAAGAAACTTTAGGACGGACCATTGCTGCAAAATCAAGAATGTTATTCCCCGAGAAGGGAGGCTTCATGTAGTTCGTATGGTGAAGTTTCAAGCAATGATAATTACGCATTCGATAATATGATACTATATGCGTTTTCATTTTTTTGCGTGTGTTTTTGCTTTTAGCAATACAAAGAAGTTTATTCAAGTAAATACACGTGCCATTCAAAATTCCTAGCGGCTCACCACTCCCATTTCCCGGCTAGGTCTCTCCTCACCCCTTCCAGTCCCTCACTTCTAAAGGACAACAGCAAGACAGGGCGGGGAGAAAACTACAGATCCTTTTGTGCAGCCTCAGTCTCCCTCTTTCATCCATCCATCCCTCCACTCTCCTGGCTCCTGCCTTCTCTCTTTCTTTGTATCCCCATTTTCTTCTTCCTCACTGTATATTGCAAGATCCTCTAACACTGTTTTTTTTAATGAAAAATATTTATGTTACATATGGACGGAACATTTCTAGACTGAAACTCCTGGGAGAGGGATTGGAGAGATGACTTTTCCACGTACACTAATCTTACTGTTCGAGTTTTTTACTATGAACATCAGTTGCATCTTCTCTTAATAAAAAAGAACAAAAGTCGCAGACGAAAACAAAGAAAATTGCACATCCACAGGAGAAAAAAAATTCAGGATTCACAAAATCATCATTACGCTGCAAACACAATAGAACCGACGATGAAAACTCAGCATGGTGTCTGCAGACATAAAGAAGAAAGGGGCTGAAAGAACAATCTAAATACAGGAATGGTGGGCTGCAGGAGGCAGCATTTCAGGGACTGGCAGATTTAGGAGCATGGCAAATCGCTGCAGGGCGCTCGGAACGTGGGGAGAGGCAGGCATAAAGGCTTTTGTGAGCTCCTTGGCGCGCTCCCCGCCCCCACTCCGGCCTTTCTGGTTTCTCCAGCTAGGCGAGCTCCGGGCGTGTCCCCGCCCCCAACTCCGCCCCCGGCTGTTGGTCCCGCCCCCGGCTGTTGGTCCCGCCCCCAGCTCTGGTCCCGCCCCTTGCCCTGCCCTTAGCCTGGCTTGGAGAAGCGTTTCAAAGCTGAACCTCTGCTGCAGGGCTTCTGCTCCAGCTCCACCTGAATGAGCCCATTATGGGGTTCACTTGCACCCGCGAGGGCGGGAACTGGAGTTGCTCTCCCTGGAGGGGTCCAACGTGGCTGATGCCCTAGCGGAAGCGGAAGTAACGTCAGCGGCTCCCCGCTTCTTTTTGGGCTCTGGTCACCCGAGACCTTACTCCGAGGTGGTCGGTCTCGGCCGGCTTCGGTGAGGCTGGGTGAAGGGATGCACCTGCGGTAGAAGGGGATGGGGAGAGGACGAGTCAGGCCCGAGCCCCTGAAAGACCTCTTCCGAGGGGCCTGGCGCGCCCGTGCCCGGGACCCCCGCGTGGCTGGGGCCACTCGGGCTGTGCGACCCCTGCAGGTGCCGGGTCGGGCAGGGTCGCCGCGCTCGTCCTTCAGGTTTGCATGCACGGTGCACACCCCGCTTCAAAAGCCTCTGCAGTAACCTTGCTGGATTTTTATCCCCAGCCTCTGGGATCACGCTGATTTAAGACACTGCGTCCTCCAGCTTCAGGGACCAGACGGTTTCCGCGCGTCCAGGTGACCACTAACTGGGTGAAAGATGGGTGGGGGGGGGCTGTTTTTACTCTTTTTTTGTTAATGCAAACTAATGCTTCATCTGAGAATTTCGCTTTCTTCGTGCGTGGCGTGTTTATTGAGACACATGGTATTCCGCTAGAAAGATAAAGATGCAGAGATGCTGGGGCTACGTTTCATGGTTGAACGCTTGCAAGCTTCTTAGGTGTCTTCGGGTGCATATGAATGCATTGGAAACCCCAAATGGGTCTTACTGTTTATTGAAGGAGAACAAGGAGGGAGGGAGGGAGACAGAGAGAGAGGAAAGAGACTGAGGAGACTTGCAAGTATGGAAAGCAAGCGCTCTCCATCACTAAACTACAGCCCAAACCCCGGCACTAAGTTTTTCGGTCTCCACCTCCGTATAAAGAAACCCAGGGCCTTCGACCGAGCTACATCTCCGCCCTCCCCCGCCCCCCTTTTTTAAACAAAGTCTGGCTAAGTCCCTAAGTTGCCCGGGCTGGGCTCCAACTTCCATCTTCCTGCTTCAGCCTTTCAGATTGCTGGGATTACAGGCGTGTGCCACGCCCAGTTAGAGTTGAGGTATTCTTATTTGAAGCAAGTTGGTCTGTAACCCCCCCCACACACACACACACCTTTAAAACAGCCCTCCAGGAGTTAAGCATGGAGGCTTTGTTAGGCTACTACATCGCTTAGGCGAATTAGCCAGTTGCTTTCTCTCCTAAAAAAAAAAAAATTTTATTATGTCCTCCGTGTAGCAACTCCCTGCGATGAATGTAATCGTTGTTATGTACTGCAAACATATGTACTCGTAAAAATTTTAAAAGTTAAATAAAATGCATTTTATGATGAACTATTTGAGAGTAAGTTGAACATTGTAGGCATGATTTCGGTAGTTGGTAGTACATCACCTAAAGATGAGGCTATGGGCCCATTAAAACGACAATACTAGTATTTCATCCAGGCAAATAATGTTAGGGTTGAGAATGTGGTAAAGGGGTAGAGTGCTTGCTTAGCATGCTTGAGGCCCTGGGTTCAACCCCCTGCACCACCGAAACACAGCAAAACTATGTAATACATGCTTTATATAAAATCAAAACTTTGCACATTGTTCCAAATTATGCATTTGGGTGACTGGGAATCTAAAACCCTTCAAGTTTCTTTTCTTTCTTTTTTCCTCCCCTTTGCGACTACCAGCTGTGGCACAAATGTCATAGGTTTGCCACCAGTGGTGTAAACCATACTGTCCTTGAACTCGATCCCTCCTGCTTCAGCTTCTTGAGTGCTGGAATGACTTCAAGTCTAGCTTGTTGCAAGGTTCTTGTATTGAAAAATTGTAATATCCTTTAGGGACTTTGAACCTGGAGCCGTCATCATTTCTTTTTATTGACTTTTTGAAGAGTCAGATGGTCTTCAATAAAGTCACACATTTTGACATTTCTGTTTATGTTTTCCCATCACTCGTATTTCCTTTGTAGTGACGAATAACCACGGCTAAGACAGTGAAAAATACTCAACTTAGGCTTGTTCTTGGAGAACTTATAAATTGGTGAAGAGAGGAAGCATCTTGGGGTTGGGGATTTAGCTCAGTGGCATAAGCGCCTGCCTTGCAAGCAGGCAGTCGTGAGTTCGATCCCTGGTACCGATAAAAACAAAAAAGACAAAAAAAAAAAAAAAAAAAAAAAAAAAAAAAAAAGAGAGAGAGACAAAGCATCTGATTAATAGCCAAAAAACTATTAGAACAAATCAATCAGGGTTTTAGAAGTAAAAGATTACATATTCTGTTAGTATTTTTGGGGTTAGTGAATGTAAGAAAAGTGGGTTCTGTTTAAGCTGAGACCAGAAAGCAGCATAAGAATTAGATATGTTAAAAAAGAGAATGGGAGGTGAGGAAAGGAAAGCCTAGATGTGTACTGACTGCTTATGTTAGATTTCTACCTGAGAGAGTTAACCCTAGACGAGGGGGCTGGGGATTTAGCTCAGTGGTGTAAGCGCCTGCCTGGGAAGCACGAGGCCATGAGTTCAATCCCTGGTACCAAAAAAAAAAAAAAAAAAGAAGATACAGAACCCTAGATTTGACAGTGGAGTGTTCTTCTTTGGGAGAACAGATATGATCTTCAATACATAATTGACAGGAGGATGACAAGTGATGTGACCAAGGGAAAATAGGAGAAAGTAAACCAGGCACAGAGATACGCACCTGTAATCACAGCACTGTGGGAGGCTGAGGCAGGAGCAGTATAAATTCAAGCCCAGCTGAGGCAACAGTGATTTAGTGAGACCCCCTCATCTCTAAAAGAAGGCTGGCGATGTAGCTCAGTGCACAGGCCGTGGATTTAATCCCAGGTAACTGCTCCTTCCCCCAGCCAAAGAGAGAGACAGTATGAATGTATTTTATTTCCAGGAGTAGGAGATTAACTGAAGGAATTAATGAGAAGAATTAAACATTGCAAAGAAATTCTTTGTGAAAATTCATTTGTATTACTTATCTTAGAAATGCCTGTGTTCATAAACAAAATCTTCTTTGAGAAGTTTTCAGTCCACCTCGGAGTCCTTGCTATCCAAAGTAGGACTCCGTTTCCCTGAGGGAATGTTCCAGTTCTAGTTCCAGGAGTAAGGAGTCCTGGGCGGCTCCTTATAGCTACTAACATGTCTAGGGGTTTGGAATTACTCCGTAGGTAAATGCCCAGGACACTCCACTGCCCATGTGCTCTGGCAAAGAGTTTGAAGGGCTCCTTACCACCTTCTGGATCCACCTCTCGGGGGTCCCAGTAAGCTTTCTGGACTTACAGAAAAAACTGATGAGAGGCTTCTGAAGGTAGAGCTGATGATGGTCCTGAGCATAAGGCTGGCAGGGTGCACACATGATGCTGGCAGCAGTTTATTGGAGCTGCTGGCCATAGCTTTGTGCATAGGGATACTCTCTAAGGTTACACTAATGGGTACAGTGCACGTTCATGTAGAAGGGAAGGTACTGAGCTGAGTGATTTCAAGCAAGACCCTGTCTCAAAAAAATAGTAAAGATGTTTTATCATTCTTATTTGAAATAATAGTCTTTACCTTAATTAGAAACATCCAAATATGGGTTAACAGAATAGGTAGATTGTGGTAATACTTAGTTTTTGGAATCCTCTACAGCAGTGATGGCAGACCTGTGACACGCATGCAGGCTGTTGTATCACTGAAAGCTCTAAAAAAGTTCACCATCACTGCTCTATGGCACACGGAAGGGAGACATTAATAACAGATCCACAGTATGGACGACCCTCATTAATATATTTTGTGGGTTTCGCTAGGGTAGAATGTGGGGCCCTGTACTTTCTGGGCAAGCATTCTGTCCCCTTGGGTGTAGCTGACATAATTTTGAATGTACAGTGCTAGACAGAAAAGAATGCCTACCCCAACCAAGGGAGGACTCAGAAAACACGTGTATTAGAAATACATGTATATTTGATTAGAAAACACATGCATATTTGTCTATTGGTGCCTAAAAACTTCTGCCAAGTATTGCAGGTAAAAATAACACAGGCTTATCTCATAGTTACTTTGGATCACAAGATCAGTTGGGGGGCGTGTGGGGGTTTCTACCCAGGATCACCTGAATGCAGCAAGGGTTTTGGTAGGGTTGGTTCCCATCTGGCGTGGCTAGGGAAGAGTCTGTGTCCCCCCTTAGTCAAGTCATTGGCAAAATTTATTTCTTTCTGGTTACAGGACTTTTTATCGCTCATCAGTGGAGGCTGCCTCAGCTCTTAGAGGCTACCTGTACCTTTCGTCACTTGCCCCCTTCCTTCACTAAGTCAGTCACCAGAATATCTGAATTTACAGAGAAGGTTTAACTGATCCATAAAAACTTGGCGTAGGGTGTGGAGGTGTGTGTCTGTGATCCCAGTTACTCGGCAGGAGAATCACGAGTTCAGACAAATTAGTGAGACCTTGTCTCAAAATGAAAAATAAGAAAAGCACTGAGAGTACTGTTGAGTCAGAGGCCCTGTGTTTAGTTCCAGGTACTGAAAAGACAAAACAAACAAATCAAAAACCAAGAAAAGCAAAACCTACTGGCTGGGGACACGGCTCAGTGGTAGACTGCCCACCCTGTATAAAGGCCCTGGGTTCAAATTCCCAGTGTGGCCAGACAGACAAACAGACAAGCAAACAGGCTTTCTACCCAGTAAATGCAAAACCAACTTATTTGGATCCTTAGTTACATCTACAGAGTCCCTCATATTTACCATATTCTCTTGGCTGAAAAGAAATCATAAGTCTTGGATCCCCGAAGGAGAGGGTTATGCAGGGTCGTGTGTATGCCAGAAAGCGGACATCGTGGAGGGCCACTGAGGGTGTGTGGTCCACGGTACAGGTGTAGTTCACAAAAGAGGAACTTGTGAGCCTGAGCTGGGCTAGTCACCGCAGGAGCATGAGCAGGGCTCCACAGCGCTGGTCCCCTAAAGCAGGGCTGGTACGCACAGGAATTGGGTGGCACCCCAGGCCCAAGGTGTGGGGAACAGGGTACAGGACCTGGGCTCACCAAGATGCACAGTGTCAGTTGGGTCAAACACAGCTTGCTTCCTAGAATGCATCATGACTGGGTCATGAGGGACACAGGAAGGAAAGGAAAGGAAAAAGAACTAAAAGGAATTATGGCCATGAAGCAACCACCCGTGATGAAGGTGATCATTATATACTGCAAACATGAACTCCTAAAAATAAAATCTACATAAAAAGTGAGATACGCAGGAAACTGTATCCGAAACATACACATGCCTGGAATGGTGGTGGGCACTTGTAATCCCAGCACTTTGGGAGGCTGAGGAAGGAGGATTTTAAGTTTGAACCCAGCCTGAGCAACTTAGTGACTTAGCAAGACCTTGTCCAAAATAGAAAATCTGGGAATGTAGCTGAGTGCAAAGGCCCTGGGTTCGATCCCGAGTACTGGAAGAAGGAGGAGAAGGAAGAGGAAGAGGCGGAAGAAGAGGAGGAGGAGGCATGTGGTGACATGATTCTGC